TAGGCCTATTTTAAGCTCTGTAGGTGAAAACAGACTAATAAAATAATTATTATTTTGAAAAACAAGCACTAAAGCTTTCAGAGTTTTTACTTTGTGCTTAGTGCCATCTTAAAGAATGTTTCAGTGATCCTCAAAACGTAGGTAGTAATTTTATTATCTGTATTTTTCAAAGACTTTGAGGTTCAGATTGAGTAAGTTTCTTCAGGAAGGTACCACAGAGGCCAAGTGAGAAAGGTCGGTATTCACGCATGAATGTGTGATTTGGGTGTTGTTACTGTTCTTACCTACCTTGATGTAAGGTGTAGCAACAGAAATGTTTGTTAGAGTCATTACAACTACAGAAGATTGTACAAACTGTCTAACTCATTAGAAATGAAACAAGTTTTAGAAACACAATAGACAGTGAGGAGTGAGGTGATAAGTTGCATGTCAGTTATATTCATTTGGGTTAAAAAGAGGGTGAAGTGAGTGAGAGTTGCAATAGAAGAGAAAGATAAAGAGAGTGAGAATGTGAGTCATGAAGAATGGCAATGACTTCGGAAGAGAGGGGATGGAGAAGATATTATGGGTTAGGAAGGAACATGGTAAAAATATTAGATTTCACGAAATGATTCCTAAAACCCTTTCCTGGCGATGAAAAATTAGACAAACTGCATGCAAACCATATTGTGTTCCTCATTTACATGGTGAACCAGGCTGACCTTCTGTCATTCCCATGCCCTGCTTCATCTATAAAAAGTTGCACCTGCTGTGGATTAGCAAACAGAATGGGAATCCAAGGCTTTCTGGCACAAGTGAAGATTTAGCTAATGAACTTTTGATGGCGTCCTGTAAAAAAGTGAGGATTTTTGTGATCCCAGAGCTCAAATGAGACACATGTTTTCTGCCGGATCTGCATGGGAGAGGCAGATTTTTGTATGTATGAAGCTGAAGTTAATTCCTGACCTGGAATGACAGCTTCAAATTACGCCATGCTTCAGTTTGTTTAACATCTTCAGTATCTTAATGTGTGTGATTTGATGTAAGCTAGTATTTATCTTTTTATATTAAAATTTTAATCACAGAAACTACAATAGCAAGAACGTGAGTCCAGTGGTCATCTCAGTGAGTTTTAGTTGGTAGCTGTTTGGCTCATGCTGGTCTCTGTAGGTTCCCCACACAGACCACTCCTCTTTTCAGGCAGGTGCTTTCTACTCCTCTCTCTTCCATAGCCTGGACTATGTGTCTGGAGCAAATACCGCCAGGTTTTTCTTGATCCTGTGCAGTATCTTCTACTCAGTTTCCTTCTGACACAGTACAGAGGAGAAGGATACAGGCTCAGTCAGCCCACAATTTCAAATCGACCCCAGTTGGATGTCTTTTAGATACCTCAGTTTTCATCCACGTTTGAACTGCTATTTAGAAGGTCTAGTTTTTGATTCTAAAATGAAACAGTGACAAAGTTTCATGGGTTTTGAGTTAAATCACCTTATGTCAGATAGGTCAGTTTTGTAGAGCTACTAAAAGTGCAAAAATTCACCAGCATTCATTCTCACAGAAATTCCCTTAATGGTAAGTCTTTACCTGTGAGTTTTTCTTTGCCCTGGGTTAGACTGCCTCTCTTACACATTGTTTGCATCATTGCTTAATTAAAAGGTCCCTTTATGGGCCCATAATATTTTTATTTTTAATCTAGCATGCAGTGCCCCTTAGAATAACCATTCCTGGGATTTTAAAAGTCAAGTCACAGAAGAAATTTTAGAACATTTGTGTAGGAAGAGTCTTCGAAATCACTCTCCAAGTCCAGTCTCCTTATATTAAAAATGGAGAAACAAACCTAGAAGAATTACTTAACCACGAAAAATTAAGGATAAAGCATAGTTACAAAATGGAATACTGTCAGATGAAATACAATATTTCATTGTCTGACTCTCATTATAAACAGTGGCACTCAAAATATGAAAATAGAGATGGCCTACTGTGTTTATTAATTCACATCTTCATTCGCTAAAGATTAAAGTGAAAAGGAAATAGCTGAAATATTGAAATAACTTTATATTGGAAGTAACTTAGAGCTTCCATTCCATGAAATTTGATGCAAAATGATGCTTGGTTCACACTCATAGCAACAGATCCTCAAAAAGGAAGTTACTTTTTAAAATGTCATTATCAATTTTCAAAAAAATAAAATCAGTTAAAAAATATTTGGTTAAACCCAACCTGAGCATCATGTAATAATAGTCTGTTTAAAATGAAAAGAGACTGTGAATGCCCAGGAACTTCAAAGAGAAGAATAAAAATAGTTTTCAAAAAAATATTTATATTTTTATACAAATAAATCAGAGTCCTTGAGGAAATGTTTGATCACACTGAAAATAATTTTCGTAGATATGAAGTTAAGGCAAGTTAAAGGAATATTGTCAATAATGAGTTGCCATTATACTCAGCCCCCATGTGTTCCATCTCTAGAGAATAATAGGTTATTAAAATATGCTTTGAAATGTTGTATTTATAAAAACAGCATTAAGCTTGCTTTGGCAGAAGTACTTTTTTATATTTTTTGCATTTTTATAATATTGAATAAATGGTGAAGCATATTGCTTAAGCATTTTTAAATTATTTTAATTTAAATTGAATTTTCTAACCAGGAGTTTTCTGAGTAACTGTCAAAATCGGAGGGGAAGTTAGAGAACCTGCAGAAAGAGTAATCATGGTATCTGAGTCAGGAGCTTGGTGTCCATTTGAGGCCGCCTACAGCCAGGCCTGTTCATCTTAGACCACCTGAATGTTACTTTCTCCCACATCAGAGTTTCACAGTCACTTGTTGAAGTAAGTGCTAGAGGTAGTTTTGTATTATCTGCAAAGGAGATGAGAATCTTTCTTACTACTGTGTATTTTTATTCCACTGTCTTCACCATGAGAGCTTCTGTGGTGACATTAGCATGCTTGATGTTTCTTGTTAATCTTCTCTCAGAATCTAATTCTTAAGTATTTCTTAGTCTCTTTGTGCTTCAGATGCTGTGAAATACCCATTTCCCTCCTGTAGCCTGAATATTATTTAATGTAGCTTGCTAGTGAGAAAATGAAACTGAAGAGGCAGGAAGGGAGTGTGTAGTCAGCGAAACACCTTAGAATCCTTTGTTTAAGGTTGGTCCTTAGCCATATGTACCTGCTGGAAATCTGATAATCAGTTGAGTGGAGACACTGACTCTAAGGTGATTTAAAATGCAGCTACTAAAAATTGCTCAGAAAGAACAGAAGGAAGGATGCTAAAAAGGGAAAAAGATGAGTGAAATGCTAGAGGGAATTAAGTCCCTACTGCAAATTTTATCAACTTAATTAGGCCAGCTCAAACTTTAATTATACTTTAGAGACTTTTATCACAAACAAATCTGTAAGATAATATGAAGTGAGGGGTTCAGAAGACATCCAATCTTATGTGAGTGGGAAGAAATGATAGATCCCCAATATAATCAGAAAGGTTCTCTACTGCCACATGTAGTGACCACACTGCAATTCTCACAATGCATCAGTGCCCAAACTCAGAAGGTCAAGTGTTTCCTTCATGCAGATGACCTTAGTCTTTACCTTTCCTCTTTTAAACAACAGAGAACTTTAGAGTTGCCGAGGATCCTCAATTCCCGTTTGTAGTAAACTGCTGTCCAAACTTGGCTCTTAGGTTATCCTTCTATGCTTGTTTCTCTTTGTTCAGAGAGGAAAAGAGTACCTCTCATTTACAAATGAGAACAGCAACAATAACAACAAACAACAACAGCAACAAAACATGGCTAGACTTGCATTTCAGATTATGTTCCATTGTTGAAAGAAGAAGGGACTTGGAGAATGTGAAGAACTTCAGTGGTATCCATAAATCCAAGAGAAGGAAGAAAAGCGGGCTTCATTAATATTTGAGCACCTCCTGTGTGGGCCTCAAAGTCAGTACTAAACAACGTCTAGTTATGTCTTCACTTCCCCTAGGTTTCTTATTGAGGTTTATGCCTTAACCACATTTCTTCTCATACTTCATAGTCATAGTCTATATATATTTTAAAAATATTTACAACTTATTTTGACTTTTCCATATGCTTCATTTCCTCTTTTGGAAAGAGAGCTTCTTTTTTGCTTTCCCATTTCCCACAGAGAGCCACATTTTTTTTACTTGCCATGTTATTACATAACTACTAATAATAATGCCTTGATTTTGTGCAGCAATGCTGTCTTCAGTTGAATCACTTCAATGAAACATTTTAAAATAGTTTTGGGTAAGACTTACAAGATTCCTAGTTTATGAGAAAATACAAAGGAACCCCCAATAACCCAGGACCTATGCATTTGCCTTGAGGATTCAACAGGAATACTCAATTTTTGATCAACTGACTGACATTGTGGCTATAAACTACCTTCTATATTACAATTTTTCATGTTGGGATAACCTATTCATAGTAGTCATTTTGGAATGAGCCAGTTCACAGAATAGCCATCTTCTTCTATGAACGTAGTATAAATTTAGACACAGTCCTTTGATCACTCAGTTATGTGCTGGGGATGAATAATGTTTCTTTGCTACACTGGACTGCTGTCCTGGAGCCAGGGAGTTTGTTTACTGATGCAGGTTCTGGTTTAGACAGCAAGGAGGAACAAGGAGCTGAGACTGTTTTTCATAGAAGTTCAGGTCAACAAAGAATATAAATTTTCTCTACCTGATTTAAAACACAGAAGATGGCTTTTTTGCTTCTAAATTTTAGTGTGGCGTTTGTGCAAATATCAAAGAACTGAACAGATTTTAATGTGCCATTAGCTGAATTTATCATAAACCAAGCCACGCTTTTTTCCCAGATCTTAGAAACACTGAAATGTATTTTAACTCTTCCGATGATATAACAAAATGACAACACTGACCTGTGAACAGAGACCAGCTATCCATGGCTCCTTTCACTTGCAAGATAGCAGACTATAGAAATCCCCCCTTTTACATGTGAGGTAGTAATAGTAATTGCATTATGCAAGTAAGAACACTGAGTCCTCAGCACAACACATGGTTAATGAGTAATGGAGATGGACCCTCACCTTGACTTTGTATCCCTAAGTTGGCTACTGCTAGTAAAGCACATTGCTTGAATCAGATCCTCCAAAAAAATCCCAGTGGGATACACTTCATTGAGCCTAATTGTGCCTAGGATTGCAGTAGCCACTATACAAAGGGACATTAAAAAGTTGGAGCTTTCCTTGGAGGAATAAGAGAGTCACATATTCAATCATGATAATGATGATGATGATATGATGATGAAGTATTTTTAAAAAGTTCTTACATACTATTTTAACATCCAGTGAGTTGCCTAAGAGACATGTGCATAGAGACATGAGAAACAGAGAAAAAATACTTTACTTTTGAAATATAATTTAATGAAATGGTATGAAATAATTTGATATTCAGTAGTTCAAACATAGCAGTCCTGAAAGAAAACAACGCTTAGTGGTATTTTATTATATATTTTTGGTATTTTATCTTCAATACTGTTTTATTATTAAATTACATATAGGGATTCACCATCTCTTTTCAGTATTTCTCATGTTCCAGGTGATACTATGAGCATGACAATATTTATACACTAATGCTATCCCTAGGTGACAAATGGGGTGACGGAGACAGGATAATTAGAGAACGGACCTGGGACAAAACAAGTTACTAAGTAGGAAAGCTAACATTCAACCTAAGTAATCCATCCACAGAATCATTATCTTTAACTGCTGTTACATTTCTTTTTCCTTATTTTCAGTATTTGTATAAAGAAAAAGTAAGAGAAAGTAAGCTTCTTAGGAATCACTGAGAGAAATAAAAGCACAGCCTAGATTACTGGGCTGTTACAGAAGGGGAGGGGTATATAAAAATGAGAGCAAGAAGTGGGAAGTGTTTTTTAAGTGACAGTTAAATAACGAGTTTTTTTAAATGACAAGTTTTCAATGCTATCCCCTCCCCAGTCACACAGCTCTAATAGGCACTGGGGTGTTACCTCTCTGAGTCTGGTCCCTACTTTGGCAGCCACACACCCTTCCTCTTATAAAGGGATAAACAAGATAATGATGCTTGCCATATGTCTTAGTTACTTTCTTCTTGCTGAGACAAAATACCCGACATGCCAATTTAAAGGAGGAAAGATTAATTTAGCTCACAGTTTGTAGAGATTTTAGTCCATAATCAGTTGGCTCCCAGGCAGGGTGGCATGGCAGATAAGGCACTGCAGAGAAGAAACAATTCATAGCAGGCTGAAGGTAGCGAAACAAGCAAGGGGACTTAGCAGCTTTTTTTTTCTACTCTTTTTCTACTCTAGGCTACCAGGATTAGGGAAGTTCCAAACCAATCACTGGACAGATTTAGTAACCACACACTTAATCCCACCATCACACACTCTAGATTCTGCCACCTCTGGAAAAGCTTTGGGGGACATCTAGACATAAGCCATTACATTCTGCCCCTCACACACATTCCTTTACACAAAAGGCATCTAATCCATCTCTAAACAGTTGCCAGAATCCTCACAATTTCTGCATGAAATTGTTCCTGAAAAGTCCAAGTCCTACATCTTCTCAGATTCAAGGCAAACTCTTCACTATGGGGCCCTGTACAAATAAAATAAAGTTAAACACTTCCAAAATATAATGGCACAAGTAAAACATGACGTTCCAACAGGTTCAAGTGGGGAGATACAATGGAATGGTGATCTAGGGTTGATATGAGGTAAATAGATATAACTCCCAACCTACTAGATGTCTCCTAAACGAAGTTGGTGTTCTCTAAATTAGAAGAATAAATTCTAGGTACAATGGAGGTTAGCAGGTAACATTTATTGAAGAACAGACACCTGCTGCCTGAGAAGGACAGGAGGGGACCTGCAAAGTTGGTTGTCCAGGATCATATTTCTCAAAGAAGTTTTATAGAGCAAAATCATGAGGTGGGTACAGAATCACCAGGTAAATAGAAAGTGGGACAAAGCTATAGTCAGCCAATAAAATTACAAGTGTAGTTGCTTGGGTACTATTGATCTGATGGGGAAGCAAGTCACCTAGCAAGTGTGCAAGGAAAGAACAAGGACCTTTCCTAAAAAGGATGGGTTAGGAGGACTTAGTTCCCACACCCAAGGTGACTGATGCCTATTTAGAATACCAATCATTATCCTTCATTCCTTGGGAAATATGGAGTTATAGTCACTTCATCTCTATCTTGAAACCTGGCCTTCAACAAATGTGCTTCCACCACGGTTGTAATGTGTTCTGATCTTCTGGACTGACTTCTTTGAGGGCCTGGCCTTGTTTGACTGCCTATAATATTTCTAACTTAGCTGTCTATAATATTCCCCATTCTTAACAGATATTCCCAACTGCCATGAGAGTAGAAGGGGCAAATACCATCTTGTCTACTCCTGGTTGAAAAGGGGGTTGTAGTTGTGTTTGGTAGTCAAAGATACTACCTAAAGGTCCTCAGTCAAAACTAAGCATTCTTGTCCTGGGTAGGAATATTGCTTTAAATCTAGAAGAGATAAAGCCAAAGAAACAGTTAACTGTGGATGGGCTAAATACTAAGATCAACAAGATTATTATGAATATAACCAACAGAAGTTTCCAACAGTAAGAGCCGGTAATAGCTTCCCACAAAAAGGATAAGGAAAATGTCCAGGGAATTTCAGATTGCATCTTGGCATTGCCCTGCCATTTAATATCCTGAACAGCCATAGAGATATTAGTGGAAGGATCAGGAATGTACACACAATGTTCAGCTTTTATAATTGTACAAGTACCCCCTTAATTCTGTTGTTAGAATGTCTTATGCCATATGATTTTGAGGATGGCTTGCCTCATTAGTTTTCATTCTTCATTCACAAGAGAGAGACCAGTTGTAGTATCATTTAAGACCCATTGAGTATAGGTAGTCAAGGCCTTGATGTGTTGTATGACATCCTGTAATCCTAGGGAAGGGATAAAAATAGAAGCCAAATGCAGGGAAACTGGTAGACCATCCATATCATAGATGGGGTAAGTTTGCAGGTTTGTAGATACTTTTGACATTCCTGCCTTGTAACCACAAAAATCCCAGTATGCAGCTCCCTCTCCATCCATGGTGTAACCAGGGCCACAAATGGGTTCCACAGGCTCAATGAGGGCCATTGGGGGTTTCTTTTCTAATTCTAGGGCAATTAATCCAGTCTGGTGTAAACCAGTTTGCAACCTGTAAAATTATGGTGTGTATACACTGTTCAGGGAATGTTTGTCCCTAGCATTTGATAGAGTTAGACCAATGAGAATGATTTCTCTGTTTCCAACATAAGCGAGCCTTTCTACCAAGATGTCTTATAGTGGGAGCTAACCATATATATAATCATCCCATATCTGAAAATAGCCATCTTGATATCTGTGACTCTTAGACCCCATGATAGGACCCTTACTTAATAGAGGGTTTAGTAGAGTCTGTAGAGAGTCTTCAGTGGCATTAAGGAAAAGTTCAATTATTTCCAGGATCAAGGATGTAGTTTATAGGCCACTGAGTTACCTAGTAATGGTGGGCTAAACTGTGAATTATTGAACTTTTTCTTGTCTCATCTGTCTTGTAGCTTATTCCAGTCATCTCCTTGAAGTGAGGCTACCCACCAAGGAAGTCCTAATGTACTTAACAAGGGGAGCAGGCCACATATCCTCAAGACATTTCTTGCAATGACTCTGAATATTCTTGTGCTTACAAGGAGCAAAGAAGGGAATTGCACTTTCCTTTAAGAGGTGAAGTGATCAGTAAAAGGGCTAAGAGTAACATTTTAGATTACTTATCCGAAGGCTTTGCTTTCTTTTTGAACAAGAATTTTAAGTTCCAAGGGTTAACAGGAGTGTTCAGATTTGGACTCATACTCAGTCTGATGTGCTGCATCCAGGAGCCTGGCCTGCTACCTTGACAGCTGATGGAGTTGACAAGATTACAGTGTATGGTCCTTCCCAAGTTGGTCCTAGGGCAGGAGATGTTGAGGGGAGATACTTTACCAGTACCAAATCTCCAGGGTGGAATATGGGATTTCCCATTTCTTTAGGCTGAGCTTCTGTTAGCTGTTGAAGAGTCTGTTGGATTATAGCCAGTGAGGTGACGTTGTTCAGTAAGGCATCTGTTTGTCTATCAAAGAGAAAATTATTAGTGAGAAAGGGCATCCATAAAGCATTTCAAATGGACTAAGGCCTAAAATTTGAGGTATATTTCTTACTTTGATAAGAGCTAAAGGTAGTAAGTGAGGCCACTGTAGGTGGGTTTCTTTAGGGGTCTTATTCATTTTCTCTACTTTTCCTGATGATTGTGGCTTCCATGCACAGTGAGGGTGATTGAAAATGCCCATTGACTGAGATACACTGTGTGTGGCTGTTGCTTCAAAAGAAGGCCCATTATCACTGTGTAAGCTCTTAGGAAGTCCCAATCTGGAGATGTAAGACCAAAATCTTTACCACCTCTTGTATCTTTTCTATTCTACAAAGAATGACCTCAACTCTGTGAAAGTATCTACCCAGACCAGTAAGTACTAGAGTCCCCTACTTTTTGTTATATGAGTATAATTGAGTTGCCAGTCTTCTCCAGAGTATTTACCATGTCTATATACATGGAGGAGCTATGTTCACATTAGGAGGATTGTTCTTTTGGCAGAGCTCATATGTCTTCACTGTCTGTTGTATTGTCTGAGAAAGTGCCTTCCCTTTGAATAACTTTGAGGCCACCTTCTGGGTCTTTTACCTCCTAAAGTGAAAGGTTTGATGTAAGGACTTCATAACTTTCCACTGACTAGCACCAGGAAGGAACAGTTTATCATTACCTTATTTTTAATCCTCCTGAATGAAGGAACTGACACACATGGGAGAGGGCCCATTCAATTTCTGGCTGAGAATATTTGGGTCAAGTATGATTAAGAGACCCTTCACAGGTCAGGGGCTTGAAAGAGGGACCCTTTAGCAGCACCTTCTGCAGCTGCATCAGCCAGTTGTTTACCTTGAGATATTTCAC